CGATGTGCTGGACTCGGCTCGTAGAGCGGCGACTGTGGGGGATTTCGAAAGAGTGCAGGACGCGGTCGACTTGGTCTATGAGCACTGGGCCAATGCTGCCGAGCGTGAGGTGTCCGCCGCCACGGGTAAGGTCCTTCCCGTTTGGGGTACTCGAGGGAAGCCCCCCCAAATGTGTTGGCGGCCGGTGTTGTCCAAGGACTCTGGCAAAGGTGATGGTTCGTTGTTTGCTGCTAGGTGGCTGACCAATCTCTTCGGAGAGTTCGAGTGCTGCTGGACCAAGGGTGACCAGGCTGGCATCGGACGGGTGCTCGAGCGCCTGGAGCAGCCGCCAGCTCAGTGCGCCAATGATCTTGGCCAGATGGAGAATTTTAGGTCTGCGCTGGACGAGTTCGTCCGCGAGCTCCCGATGTACGAGCCAGCAGACGGCCCCATGCTGGATTTTTTTCTGCACCTTCAGGAGTTGTGCCGAGATATGCTCGTGAATATCGAAGCTGCTTCTAGGAAGCGTGCCAGGAAGGAGTTCAAGGATTGGCTACTGTTTAAGGCGAATCGGGGAGCCCGCAGGGTTCACACCGTTTCCAAAGGAGCGACTCCATGGGTCCCCACCACTACCCTGTCCCTCGACGGAGTGGTGGTGGCGGACCCATTGTCGTTGCTCCAAGCGGAGTCTAAACGTTTTTCCGACCTCTGGGGTGATGCTGGTGGAGGTCCCTGGTTCCATGTCGGTGAACTTGCCCCTGACCTTCCTGGGGTTCCTGTCGAAGCGATTCGTGAGTTTTCTAGGCGTTTCAAAGTCAACACTTCTGTCAGCGTCGACGGATTTCACATGAGGCACTTCTCTTTCATGAGTGATGAGTTGCTCAGTATTTTGTCTGGTTTATTTGCTGTGATGGAGTCCACGGCGTTGATACCGAGACAGGTGGCCATCACCCTCCTCACGTTGATCCCGAAACCTTCTTCGGGTTTTCGCCCGATTGGGACTTTTTGTGCTATTCACCGTGTTTATGGGAAGGTGCGGAGGCCCCTGGCCCAAGCGTGGGAGTTCAAAAACGCTCGGAGTTTTTTCGCGGCTGGTCCGTTCGAGGGGGCCCAGGATGTGGTCTGGAGACAGGCGGTTCGTGCGGAGACCTCGACGTTGAGCAAGGATGAAGCGGCCACCGTCCTGCTCGATCTCTACAAGTACTATGAGACTATCGATCTCAAGCTGCTCTTGTGGCGTTGTAAGCAGGTGAATTTTCCCCTCGCGATCGCTCGACTCGCGATTTCGATGTATCTTCAAGCTCGGTTTTTTGTGTTGAACGGGTTTGTGGATGGGCCCTACTGGGCCGCGGGGGGCATCATCGCTGGGTGTACGTTTGCCACCACGTTGATCAGAGTGTACTCGATCGCTTCTCTCGACCAGTTGTACATCCCGCCGCTGGTTCATTTTAAGCTGTATATCGACGACTCTGGCCTTAGTGCTACGGGGTCGCGGCGATATGTTGTGGAGCATCTGCCACCGGTGGTCAGAGCTTTGATTTCTATTCTGGAGGAGGGGATCGGAGCTAAGGTGAGTCAAGATGTGGGAAAGAGATCCTTGATCGCTTCCTCTAAGGCGCTTGGGCGTGACCTCGCTCAGGCTTTAGGAGGCCTGGCTGGCCCCTTAGTCAGTTCGGCGGCGAACCTCGGGGTTGATGATTGTGTGGGTCGCCCGAGGCGTGTGGCGGGGAGGAGCTCGAAGCAAAAGAAGCGCGAGCATAAAGCTCGCGGTTTTGTTTCGCGTTTGGCCCGCCTGAGGCCCTTGGTCGGGACCCGCGTGACCAAAAGCGTTTTTGCCTCGGGGGCTTTGGCTTCGGAGCTGTTCGGGTCCGAAATTTATGGTGTGAGTGACTTTGAGCTGTTGAAGTTAAGGCGCCAGGCGGCTTCTGTGTTGCAACCATCAGCGTCTGGACGATCGCTGACGGCTCTTCTTCTCTCGTATGGCGAGCCCTGCTGGTATGCGTCTGTCGCTCCGATAGTCAGATGGTCGAAGGAAATCTGGATTGCGCACCATCGGACTTACCCCCACTGTCTCTCGCTCCCAGAACTCAGGGAGGCGTGGGATTTTGGGTTCGCGGGAGACTCCCCTTTGTGGCGGTCGGTTTCGGGACCGATCACGGCGTTAAGAAAATCGTGTGAGAGGATTTCCTGGTCCATGCCTTCTTTCGCTGTTTTTAAGACTGACAAAGGGGAGGAGGTTAAACTGACGGAGTTCTCGCCTACCTTGATTAAGAACTTGCTTCGCAAAGCTGTTGTGAGAGGGCTCGAATGGGACCTGGGGGCTCGTATGAACTTGTCTGGGCGTGCTTGCACTGATGGGGTCCTTAGTTATCTTCGTAGCTCGAAGTTTTCGGCCTTTGAAAAAGGATGTCTGAGGGCTCTTTTTTGCAACGCGGTCTACACTCGTACGCGTGCGGCTGACTTAGGCTACCAGCTGCAGAACGTGTTGTGCCCGCTGTGTGGTGAGGCGCCTGACACGCTCCGCCATAGATTGTGGGATTGCCTGTGCCCTGATGTAGTCGAACTAAGGAACTCGATTGTGCCGTTTAAGATCCAGGAGTGGGCCAGCCAGGTGGGCGACAACTTGGCTGTCTTCGGTGTGTTTCCTCACCCTGGCGATGTTTTTCCGTCTCCTTTGGATGAAGGTGGTATTCAGGTGGAATGGGCCCAAGGTGTTATTGGGGACCTGGATACGGTGTTCGAGGGAGACATGTTCGTGGATGGGTCGTGTTCCCGCTGCGTTGTGAACGAACTGAACAGAGCTGGTTGGGCCTTCACTTTGGTCGACAGAGAGACTGGGCTTGAACTAGTTAGAGTTCGTGGACCAGTTTGGGGGCCATGCCCCCAGACTCCGCAAGCAGCCGAGTTTTTTGCTATGTCTGTCGCCATCCAGTGGAGCACTGGCCAGTGTGAAATTTTTTCGGACTGCTTGAATGTGGTGAACTTTTTCAGGATGCCGTGGAGTGAACAGATTTCGTCCAGGTATATGTTCGCTGGTGTGGCTCAGTTTGCTCGCCCACACCTACATAAAGTCACGGTGTCCAAAGTGAAGGCTCATCTTGCTGTTGATGAAGCGGTCGATGATTGGGACCGCTATTTAAGGCAAGGCAATGGTTGGGCTGACGCCTCGGCCAAGGTTGCGGCATCCTTGCATCCTGCCCCGTCGGCTGAGCTTCTTGAGGGCCTGGATCTTTCCGTGGCCGTTGCCCGTGCTGTAGGACGTTTGGGTGCTCGACTTATGTCTTTGTGGCCTAGGTTAGACTTGGGTAATGATATAGTGCGCACCAAGCCTCCTGCTAAAGAGCAGGCGCCCGCTAAACCACCACACGAATGGCACTGGGTAGGCTCGTATTGGCAATGTGCTACGTGCTTGCGAGGTCGTCGGGGCTCGTTCGGTGTCGAACCGCCTGGGGGGTCCTGCTCCCTCGCTCTGCATGTGCACCCGTCAGTGCTGCGTGACCTGGGGCATCGATGTGTGCTCATTGATTGTTCGGATGGTAGTTTCGTTTGTATCTGCCACAAATGCGGTTATTACACGTCTGGTGGTCGACTTGATCGCCTAGGCAAGAAATGTGAGCCTTCTAAACGGGCCTCACACTGCAATCCGTGGAGGCGCCTCCAAAAGGGCCTCCACCCGTCGTACAATAAACCAGGAGTTCAGGTTGATGTCAACACTTTCTGTCAGCTTTAATAGTGCCTTAGCTCTGGGTGTGTGATGCAGTCACTTTCTTACCACTGCCGTTGCACGGCCCTCGCCTTGCTGTTGCGCGGCCACGGGGTATTGGCTCTGTGGCGACAGCGGCACAGCTGGCAGACTCAGGCACTTTCTTTTGCGCATCTGCACCGACCCTGCTCATTCGCCGTTGCAGGGGGAAACCCCAGCCGTCGCTGAGACAGGAAATTGCGCATGTCGCCTGCGGCGACGACATCGTCTTTCCTCCTCCCCATGTTGCGCTGGATGCTTGTTGAAAATTTGTCAGGACTTTTGCCAGCTTTGCTGGCTAGGCACGTCTGCCACGTGCGGACGATTACACGTTAAATCTTCCCTGCCAATTAGTTTCTTCAAGCAGCTGCAGCGGCTTGCTTGGTGGCTGGCACGTTTCAGCCCTTCGGCTGTCCCCCACATCTGGGGTGCGGCTTCCAGTCGTCCTGGCGCTGGCTGCACCAGGGGCTGGAGGCCCGCCGTCCTTTTGTGGGCGGCCCTGTGCTTTGCCTGATTTTTGTTTTTTGCCTTCTATCGGCCGTACATCTGGGGCGAGGTCCTGGACCAGGCGCATCAGCACCTGGGACAGGCCTCGTCGTCCTTGTATTGGCTAGCAATTTTGCCGTTACTTGGCCGTCCGTGTCGCACGCATGCCAGGCACCCCAGTTGTGGGGGAAGGTGCGTCTTGTGATACACTGGGGCGTTGGGCTGTATTCGTCCCTCGCTCCGTGCAGGCTATTTCGGGCGTGTGCGTGCTCGTGTGCGTTCGTGTTGGCTGCGCTGTTCTTGGGCTTCGCCCATTTTTTCGTTTCGGTGTTGGGTGGGGGTTGCGCCCTCTCCCATCACCTGCCCGTGCACCGCTTGTCCCCCTGTGCAGCCGGGGCAAGTGGTGTTGGTGTCGCCTCCGCCTAATTTGGGCGGTCCTTTAGGCTGTCACCTCGGGCTTTCTTTTTCTTTCCCCAAAGCGGGTGGCGGCACCTTTGCCTGGCGCGCCGTCGGCCCCCGTCCAGGTGTAGCAGGGCTCCCTTGGGCCCTGCGTGCCTGTGAGGGGCCACCCTGGGGTGGGTCTCTGCTGCCTGGTCTCGCGGAGCGCCCAGGCACACCCACCCCTTGCGGGTCTTTCAGAGCCGTCCGTCCTCAGTGGACGGCGGCTTCCCCCCAGGGCCTCGCCCTCCCTGTGGGGTTACGTGGGCTGCAGCGTGGTCTCATGCAAAAAAAAATCCTCCTCCTCCTCCTCCGCCGCCGCAGCAGCAGCAGCCTTGGGCGTCTTGGGGCCGAGGTGGCCTTCGGCGAGGGCGTGGTGCGGCTGCCTGGGCCGGAGCGGCGGGCTTCCCAGGCGCGCCCCCGTCCGGGCGCCCCGAGCCGGGGCCCAGGAGAGCAGCAAGGAGGAGTCGGAGTTTAAGAGACGGGGGTCAATGCAAAAGGGGGTCAGCCAGGGCACAGGATCCTGCGAAGATCCCCTCTGGCTGACCCGGGTCAGCGAGCCGCTCGTGGCCTCGAGGCGGCCGCACATATTGGTTGACCCTGGTTTGCGAAGCCCTGCATTTCAGTTTTTTGGTTTCCTGCTGACCCGGGTCTGATTGACCCGGGTTAGCAGGTCCCCGAAGAAACCAAGGTATTCCCAAAAACGCCATAGAACATAAGAACCTCGAAACATGAGGAATCAAGGAGGAAGCAAGGAGCCTCGAAGAAGAAACAAACGCCATAAACGTAAACTTTTGGCGCTCCGCGCTGCTTTCTTGGATCCGCGCTGGCCCCCCCTGGCGGCGCCTCCAGCGCCACCCGTGGCGCGTTCCGCGCGCCAGGGGGTTCCAGCGCAGATCCAAGAAATCCGCGAGGAGCGCCAACTTTTTCTATGTCTGTGGCGTTTTTTCTTCTTCTTATACCGCTCGCCTTCATTTGTGTTTTCCTTTTTTCCCCACATGCTTAGTGGGGCTCTGGTTTTCTTCCATGCCTCGTCGCACCCGCGCTCACTCACCTCACCTCCCTCTTCCCCTTCTCACACAGCGCAGCACATCACAGCACAGCACAGCGCACAGCACAGCACTGCTCAGCATAGCTCATCACAGCTCAGCTCAGCACAGCTCAGCTCAGCACAGCACAGCACGGCAGGGCATAGCAGGCGTGGCATTTGCTCGACACCATAGGGGGTGCGCAGGGGCTGGTCCCTCAGCGCGGCCGCTATGCACGACGGTCGTCCAGGGCATGGCAGGCGTGGTATTTTCTCGTCACCATTAGGGGGTGCGCAGGCGGTGGTCCCTCAGCGCGGCCGCTATACACGAAGGTCGTCCAGGGCATAGCAGGCGTGGCATTTGCTCGACACCATAGGGGGTGCGCAAGGGGTGGTCCCTCAGCGCGGCCGCTATGCACGACGGTCGTCCAGTGCATAGCAGGCGTGGCATTTTCTCGGCACCATAGGGGGTGCGCAGGGGGTGGTCCCTCACCGCGGCCACTATACACGACGGTTGTCCAGGGCATAGCAGGCGTGGCATATTCTCGACACCACAGGGGGTGCGCAGGCGGTGGTCCCTCAGCGCGGCCGCTATGCACGACGGTCGTCCAGGGCATAGCAGGCGTGGCACTTTCTCGACACCATAGGGGGTGCGCAGGGGATGGTTCCTCAGCGCGGCCAATATACACGACGGTAGTCCAGGGCACAGCAGGCGTGGCATTTCATTTTCTCGACACCATAGGGGGTGCGCAAGGGGTGGCCCCTCAGCGCGGGCGCTATGCACGACGGTCGTCCAGGGCACAGCAGGCGTGGCATTTTCTCGACACCATGGGGGATGCGCAGGCGGTGGTCCCTCGGCGCGGCCGCTATACACGACGGTTGTCCAGGGCATAGCAGGCGTGGCATAGTTTCGACACCACAGGGGGTGCGCAGGCGGTGGTCCCGCAGCGCGGCCGCTATGCACGACGGTCGTCCATGGCATGGCAGACGTGGCATATTATCGACACCATAGGGGGTGCGCAGGGGGTGGTCCCTCAGCGCGGCCGCTATACACGACGGTCGTCCAGGGCATAGCAGGCGTGGCATGTTCTCGACACCATAGGGGGTGCGCAGGGGGTTGGTCCCTCAGCGCGGCCGCTATACACGACGGTCGTCCAGGGCATAGCAGGCGTGGCATTTTCTCGACACCATAGGGGGTGCGCAGGGGGTGGTCCCTCAGCGCGGCCGCTATGCACGACGGTCGTCCAGGCATAGCAGGCGTGGCATTTTCTCGACACCATAGGGGTGCGCAGGGGGTGGTCCCTCACCGCGGCCGCTATGCACGACGGTCGTCCAGGGCATAGCAGGCGTGGCATTTTCTCGACACCATAGGGGGTGCGCAGGGGGTGGTCCTCAGCGCGGCCGCTATGCACGACGGTCGTCCAGTGCATAGCAGGCGTGGCATTTCTCGGCACCATAGGGGGTGCGCAGGGGTGGTCCCTCACCGCGGCCACTATACACGACGGTTGTCCAGGGCATAGCAGGCGTGGCCATTTCTCGACACCATTGGGGGTCCGCAGGCGGTGGTCACTCAGCGCGGCCGCTATACACGACGGTCGTCCAGGGCATAGCAGGCGTGGCATTTTCTCGACACCATAGGGGGTGCGCAGGGGATGGTCCCTCAGCGCGGCCGCTATGCACGACGGTCGTCCAGGGCACAGCAGGCGTGGCATATTCTCGACACCATAGGGGGTGCGCAGGGGGTGGTCCCTCACCGCGGCCGCTATGCACGACGGTCGTCCAGGGCACAGCAGGCGTGGCATTTTCTCGACACCATGGGGGATGCGCAGGCGGTGGTCCCTCAGCGCGGCCGCTATGCAAGACGGTCGTCCAGGGCATAGCAGGCGTGGCATTTTCTCGACACCATAGGGGGTGCGCAGGGGGGATCCTTCAGCGCGGCCGCTATGCACGACGGTCGTCCAGGGCATAACAGGCGTGGCACTTTCCCGACACCATAGAGGGTGCGCAGGGGGTGGTCCCTCACAGCGGCCACTATGCACGACGGTCGTCCAGGGCATAGCAAGCGTGGCGCATTCTCGACGCCAGACGGGGTGCGTAGGGGGTGGTCCCTCACCGCGGCCGCTGGCTGGCTCGAATATGTCCTCGATGGAGGATAGAAGGCTAGGAAGAGGGAGGAGGTTCAAGCAATATGGCGCAGGATGACACATCGGGGAACATTCGCGACGAGGGCTCAGAACGCAGAATTGCGCATATATTTTAAGCGAACACATGAGATTTAAGTATGTGGGGTTCCTCGGTAGCGTAATTTGGGCTGCCTGGGAGAATGCGTGTCGGAACACACCGCAGGAGAGGTCTTGGGAGCAGCAGTATGGGTATCTTTTGGTTTCCCCAAGGAGGGCAGCACAGGCGCCAAGTCTCGGTATTGTTTAGCCGCTCCCCATCCCCATCCCGATTCCCGCCATCCCACCGCCCCAGTTGGGACTATGTCCCTCGAGACCCGAAAGGAACAGCCCCATTAACCGATCTAGGGGGGTAAATCAGCCAGTGGGGCCCAGCGTCGATTAAACGGTGCTCAGCGTCGCCTCTGATCTACAACGTAGTGAACAAAAATAGAACGACGGTAGTCCAACGTTTTCGGCCTCTTTTGGGGTCTTCGCCAGGCCCCGGGACCGTCTGAAAGAATGGGGTTGAGAAATGGGTCGACACTTCTGGGAACCCCGCATTGAAATTATCCCGGCAAAGCAACCTAACAGCGATGTGTAGGAGCATATCTGGAAGCATTCCCCTTAAGATTCAGATAAGAATCCTGTTGTAGAATTCTGCTGTTCTCGCAGTCGCGGTCGCATTCGCAATGGCAGTCGCAGTGGCAACAGCAGTCGCAGTCACAGCCTCAGCCTCAGCCTGCCTCAGCCTCAGCCTCAGCCTGCCTCAGCCTCAGCCTGCCTCAGCCTCGCCCTCAGCCTGCTTCAGCCTCAACATCAGTCTGCCTTCAGCCTCGGCCTCAGCCTGCCTCAGCCTCACCCTCAGCCTGCATCAGCCTCAGCCTGCCTCAGCCTCCCTCAGCCTGCTTCAGCCTCAGCCTCAGTCTGCCTTCAGCCTCGGCCTCAGCCTCAGCCTGCCTCAGCATCAGCCTGCCTCAGCCTCAGCCTGCCTCTGCCTCAGCCTCAGCCTGCTTCAGCTCAGCCTCAGTCTGCCTCAGCCTCGGCCTCCGCCTCAGCCTGCCTCAGCCTCGGCCTCAGCCTCAGCCTCAGCCTCAGCCTGCCTCAGCATCAGCCTGCCTCAGCCTCAGCCTCAGCCTGCCTCAGCCTCAGCCTCAGCCTTCTTCAGCCTCAGCCTCAGTCTGCCTTCAGCCTCGGCCTCAGCCTCAGGCTGCCTCAGCCTCAGCCTGCATCAGCCTCAGCCTCAGCCTCAGCCTGCCTCAGCCTCAGCCTGCCTCAGCCTCAGCCTCAGCCTGCCTCAGCCTCAGCCTCAGCTGCTTCAGCCTCAGCCTCAGTCTGCCTTCAGCCTCGGCCTCAGCCTCAGCCTGCCTCAGCCTCAGCCTGCATCAGCCTCAGCCTCAGCCTCAGCCTGCCTCAGCATCAGCCTGCCTCAGCCTCAGCCTCAGCCTGCCTCAGCCTCAGCCTCAGCCTGATTCAGCCTCAGCCTCAGTCTGCCTTCAGCCTCGGCCTCAGCCTCAGCCTGCCTCAGCCTCAGCCTGCATCAGCCTCAGCCTCAGCCTCAGCCTGCCTCAGCATCATCCTGCCTCAGCCTCAGCCTCAGCCTGCCTCAGCCTCAGCCTCAGCCTGCTTCAGCCTCAGCCTCAGTCTGCCTTCAGCCTCGGCCTCAGCCTCAGTCTGCCTGCAGCCTCAGCCTGCATCAGCCTCAGCCTCAGCCTCAGCCTGCCTCAACATCAGCCTGCCTCAGCCTCAGCCTCAGCCTGCCTCAGCCTCAGCCTCAGCCTCAGCCTCAGCCTGCTTCAGCCAAAGCCTCAGTCTGCCTTCAGCCTTGGCCTCAGCCTCAGCCTGCCTCAGCCTCAGCCTGCATGAGCCTCAGCCTCAGCCTCAGCCTGCCTCAGCAGCAGCCTGCCTCAGCCTCAGCCTCAGCCTGCCTCAGCCTCAGCCTCAGCCTGCTTCAGCCTCAGCCTCAGTCTGCCTTCAGCCTCGGCCTCAGCCTCAGCCTGCCTCAGCCTCAGCCTGCCTCAGCCTCAGCCTCAGCCTCAGCCTGCCTCAGCCTCAGCCTGCCTCAGCCTCAGCCTCAGCCTGCCTCATCCTCAGCCTCAGCCTGCTTCAGCCTCAGCCTCAGTCTGCCTTCAGCCTCGTCCTCAGCTTCAGTCTGCCTTCAGCCTCAGCCTGCCTCAGCCTCAGCATCAGCCTGCCTCAGCATTCAAAGTGTGGCCCGGGAATAAA